TTATTCTAAATAAAAACAATTTATATATTTACATTTATAGAATCTTTATAAAAATAGTTTTTTTTTTTTTTTTTTTTAAATTTTTTTTAATAGTTTTTTATTTTTTATTTTTTTTTAATTTATTATTTTTATTTTGTTATATATTTTCTATCTTTATGATGGTTGTAATGTGATTATGATGGTTTGGGGAATGATGTTTAATTTATGTTGAAAAATTAATAAATTTTTATTAATTTTTCAAAAAAGAAGTTAAAAATATATATTTTAAAATTATTCATATTATTAATATTATTATTTTATTATTGTTGTTGTTGCTGTTGTTGTTGTTGTTGTTGTTGTTGTTGTTTAGCTTGTTGTTGTTGGCTACTATTTTTCTTTTGTTGTAATTGAAGTTGACGTTCTCTGGCAGATTTGTGAATTTTGAAACCATAAATTTTAGGTACATATTGTTGTGGTGGTTTGGTTGGAATTAATTCTGGATAAGTGATTAATAAGAGATGTGGGAAGGTGGTACCAAAATAAGCACCATCGATATGGGAATGTCTTCTATATTTAGGGTTGAAGATGTCGTTACATTTTGGACAATATACTTTGACTGTATCAACACCTTGCATATCTGCTAAACCAACTGGAAGAACTGGTTGATTTTGACAAAAAACACGTGGACATCTACCAAACTCAGCTTTTTTAAATTTTTCATGCATATGAGCAAGTCCTTTTGGTGTTAAAATATATCTAGCGTGAATTAAACCATAAAGTATATCAGCTGATCTTTCTAAAGCTTCTTGTTGATCTTCACTTAATGGGTCTTCTGCAAATTATTTAATAATAATAATAAATAACATTAATATATATAATAATTGATATATAAAAAGAAACTATTTGATTGTTGTTGGTGGTGTTATAAATAGCTTACCTGGATCAGAATCTAAAATAATGCCTAAAGCACCATCGTAAAATTGAACCAATGAACTTAAACCAGTAAGATTAAAATCGTCATTTATATAATCTTCATCGATGGTTGCAAAAAATTCATTTCCTTTTAAGTTACAATACCATGGAATCCAAGCCATTTCATCCTCGTTTAATGAATCTTCTTCTTCAGATGATGTATCTTTATATTTTCTTTCCATTTTTATATTTGTATGTATATTTATATATATATATTTAAAACTATATCCTATTTGATAATAAAATATTTTTCTTAAATCGTTTTTCTTTTGACAAACTATAAACTAATTATTTTTGAAAGTTAAAATATTGAATAACAATGCTATACTATAAAATTAATATTAAAATTAAATAAAACTAACTAATATTCTAAATTTATAATAAAAATTGGTTAGTAAATGTTTTTTTTTTTTTTTCAAAAATTGGTTTAATCGAATAAAAACACTATATGATATGTATGAATAAAATTGCTCCTTATTACTACAATGAATATTATATAAGTTGGGATTATTATTTAATTGTTAATTTTGCGAAAATAACAAAACAAAAATAGAACAAAAAAAAATATAAAAAACATATAAAAATATAAAAAAATGGTATTATGGTAATATTATTATACTCTATAGTGTATTTTAACGATTAGACGATTTAGAATAGATTAAAAATAATATTTTCTACACACTTTATGTATTTGCAATGTATATATTTTAAAAAAAAAAAAAAAAAAGAAACAAAAAAAATTTTAAAAAATTTTAAAAAAAAATTTTAAAAAAAAAAAAATTTTAAAAAAAAACGAAAAATTTTTTTTAAAAAAAATTTTAAAAAAAATAAAATAAAAAAAAAGGTTTATTTAAAAAATAAATAAATAGTATTAATAATAACAGCAATAATGTTATTATGTAAAAAAATAAAAATAAAAAGAATTATAAATATTTATTCTTATTTTTTATGTATATTTTTTTTGTTTAGTTTAGTTTTTTAAAAAAAAAAATAAAAAAATTTTACTTAAACTTAAGCTTAAGTTTATATGTAGGAGTATTTTGGAAAAGTTAAGATTAAAGTCATCGAGGGTCGGTTTTTAAATTTATAATCAATTACCCTTTTTTTTTTTTTTTTTTTTTTTTTTTTTTTTTAATTTTTTTTTTTTTTAATTTTTTTTAATTATAAAATTTTTAAATTAAAATTAAATATTTTAAAACGATAAATTAATATTCAAAGGTTTTTTTTATTCATTTCTTTATAATAATAATCAATTATTATATATAAAATATAAATTTTCCAATGGAGGACAGTGAGGGTAATGAGTCAAAATATTTATATTTTGTATCATTATTTTTGGTATGTATTTATAATCAATAGATGGGCAGTAATGGTAGTACCAATACTTATGCTAATACTCCTATATCATATTTAGATAATAGGACCTTCAATCGGATTTTATATTACAGTTATACCATTTTTAACAAATGAGTTTGGGGTTATAATACCAATAATACATTCATTTATATTATTATTTTCAATCGGTTCATTAACTTATGCAAGATTATCAGACCCTGGTTTTATACCAAAACAATTGGAATGTAAAGAAAACAGGGACTACTTAGAACACAAACAGTATTTATTAGAACAACAGCAATTAGAAGAGTTGGAGGAGGATTTTGAAAATCAACAGCAACATAAAAAGAAAAAATTAAAAAAAAAAACAGTACGTTTATATAATGGTATAACTATAAAAAGGGTTTATTGTAGTATGTATTCAATTCATTACTTACTTGCTTGTTGTTAAAAATTAAAATATATTAACACTATTTATACATTTAGAAACATGTCATTTTTATAGACCACCCAGAGCATCACATTGTTCAACATGCAATAGATGTGTTTTCGAATTTGACCATCATTGTCCATGGGTAGGGAACTGTGTGGGAAGAAATAATTATAAATATTTTGTATATTTTTTAATTTCAACCGTTATACTGGCAGTGTTAACAGCTGGGTTTTCAATTTTACATATAGTATATATTTCAAAGGTATGATAGTTTTAACAGTAATTAGTAGTAGATATTGGAATAATACTAACCATATTGAATTAATTTTATTTTTTAGATTTACAGTAAAGCAGTTGATATTATCGGACATGCACCTTATTCAATAGTGATTGGAGTTTATGCATTTCTTTTATTTTGGACATTAATTGGATTATGTTCATTTCATTTATATTTAGTTGGTAATGGATTAACAACAAGAGAAGATGCAAAAGCTATAGTTAACCCATATTTCAAAGGCAGTTTTATTGGATCTTTTTGTAAATTAATGTTTAGAGCAAATTATTCAAAATATCCAGTATTTTATAATTTTGGTTCAGAATTTATCGACAACAATTCACCCTCACCATCACTTTTATCATCGCCCTCATCGATTAGCGAAACCGCTATTGATATGTCCCCTGGCAATGATCATAGATACCACTATCAGTCAAATCGTCAGCAATCACCATTGGTCTCACCAAATGTATCGCCATATTTAAATAATTATAATAATAATAATAATGACAATAATAACAACGATGAAGATAATGACGGAGAGATTAGATCCTTAGGAATGATAGGCTTGGGTAGAATAAATATTGGTGACAACAATAACAATAATAATAACATCGATAATAATAACAGCAACAATAGTAATAATATTAATAGTACCCAATTTTCATTATACAATGACGACGAAAATGATGATAAAAAAAGATTATTATCTTATTATTAATAAAAAATAAACAATTGTTTAAACAATAAATGTATAGTTAAAAAATTATTAAGGGTTTTTTATTTTTTTTATTATTTTTATTATACTTTATTATTATAATTATTTTATTACTAAAGAATTTGGTTGGTATGAGTATTTTGAACTACCCAATGAGTTCCAAATAACATAGTCATTACTAACGATTTCTCTTTCAACATTTAATTTAAATTTAGTAGTTGGATAGATGATAACTTTTTTTGTGTCTATATTTAAACCACTTAATGTACAACTTTGAATTTTAAAAAATATTCTAATATATGAATTTGAACCTATACAAAATGGATCTTTATCGAGAGGATCATCAACATCGGATGATGATTGGTCTATAATGGGGAATGCTAAATTTGGAAAAGCTGTAACGTTTTGACTTCCACTACCACCGCTTACAATAAGAGTAGGAGGGATTGGTGGCTGGGTATTACTTGTGAATACAATTTCGGCGGGTAAGGCTACTTCTAAATTACGACCAGTGAACTTTTGACCAACGTTCCAAATTATTGATTTTAATGATGAGTCGATATGAACGGTACCGGTGGTTGGAGATGCATTAACTTGAAGAATATTACCTCTGTTTTTAAATGGGATCTTTAATAGACAGTAGTCAAATGAATTGTTCATTTCACCATTTAGTTTTAATTGAATTAATATTTTTACACTATTTACAGATATCTCCTTCATTTGATAAAAGCCTCTTAATGGGACAGCCTTGACACCAGATACACCATATGATAACACCTTAAAATGGTCTAATGGTGGACAAAATGATATTTTGTTGTTTATGGTTATATCGGATGTGGTTTGTACGGATGAGTCTATGGATAAATTTGATATCATCGAATCGCTATTTGGGCTTGGTAAAAAGTAAAATGAAACCTCTGGCATACCTTCTAAATCAGCTTTGCAGATTAATGATCCTGATATTTTTGATACATCAGGTATACTTGGATTGTCATATAATATACATTGAATATTTTCGCAAATAATAAAATCCAATTGTTGCTTTCCTTTATGTAAAAATGGTTTCCATGCTGGTCTTTTTTGTTGAAATGTTTCTGTTGCAGGAAAACCCTGTCTTATCATTGACTTAATATTGTTGAAATTGGTATCAATTGGTTGTCCAAATGGTATAATATTAGTTAAAAAAATTTGTATTTCCGGGTAAGGTGGTGGCTTATTAAAAAATCCTATCATATAGTTTGAAATTTCTTCTAAAAAGTTCAATGCTGCTGTTATTTGGGGTCTATATATTGGAGTGATTATAAATTAAATTAGTATCTAAAATATTTAAAAAAATAAAATTTTTTATAATATCTATCACATACAGATCGATAAGTAAGGGTTTTTTATTTGATACTAAATATTCCTCAACTACGGCTATTGTAACATAATAATAGTTTTTCTTTTTAATGTAAATGAATGGCCACAGTTTATCTTTCCCCAAAGATATAATATGGGTATTTGGGGTGGATTGATATATTTTAACTAAGGTCGATGCATTTGTTGAAATTGTAGTTTGCTGTTGCTGTTGTATTTGTTTGTTTTGTAATGATTGTGATAAAAGTGATTGACTTGATGCAGTGGTAGTGGTGGTATTATTGGTGTTGCTACTGGTTTGTTGAGATTCAATTTGGTAACCTTGTGAATCTTTTAATAATTCTGTATTAAACAATTGTAATAACTCACTGTCACTTGGAATTGGTTTATAGTTTAATCCTGATAATGCTCTTACTCTACATTCAACAGTATTTATTCTTTTTGTTAAAATTATATCAACTCCATTATTATTATTCTCTTTTAATATCCAAACACCCCTTAATGTGCACATATCTATTATATTAATATTTATGATTATATTTCTATTATATGTAAATTTTAATTATTGATTATTGAATTATATCTAATAAATTTACTCGTTTAAAAAAAAAAAATATAAATTTATATGCAAACAATGATTAATAATTATTAATAAAAAAAAATGATAAAAATTAAAAAAAATTTTATTTTTTTTTTTAAATTTTTTAAATTTTTTTATTTTTTATTAATTGATAACTTTTATATCTTTATAGCTTTATTATTTTATTCTCTATTATTTTATATCACTAAATAAAAACATCATTTTTTTTAATATTGTAAGTTTTTACATAATATTATTAAAGTTTTATTAATACTATTATTTATATAACTATATATCATTTATCATTTATTATTTTTTAAAAATAATTTTTTTCTAATAACTCTTTTTTTAAAAAACTTAAAATTTAAATTAATATTTAACTCTTTTTAATTTAATTAATGTTAATATTTTCATATAAAAACACACACGTCGCATAAAAAATCAAAAATTTAATTTGAAAAAAATAATAAAAAAAAATAAAATAAAATTTTTTTTTTTTTTTTTAATTTTTTTTTTAATTTTTTTTTAATTCTCTATCGAGTGTGTGTGTATATATTTTATTTTATTTATTTTATTTATTTTATTCTTTTTTTATTTTTTTATTACCTTTGTTATAGTTTTTATAAAAATTGCAATACTAATTCAAGTTTTTATTTTTTATATCATTTTATTTTAAATAACCTCAAAACCAAACAAATAATTCAATTACGATTTCCTTTTTAGATATTTTTTTCTTAGCAATATATAAATATAAATAAAATGGGTGACGAAGCCAAAGCTAAAGAATTTTTAGATTCAGCCGACAAAAGATTAAAAGGTGGAAACTTTTTAAAGATGTTTGGTGGTGGTTCATCAAGATATGATGATGCTGCTAGCGATTATACCAAAGCTGGTAACTTATTCAAAATGGCCAAAAAATGTAAATAGACAATATTTAAAGATAAACAATAATAGTTAATTCATAGTAATAGTAATAGTAATAACAACAATTAAATAATAACAAAAAACCATAATAATAACAATAACCATAATATCATTAGTTTTAGATTAAAAATAATTAAAAAATTTATAAAATAGAAAAATTTATATTAATTACTTTATAATTTAATTTAACTTTATTTAATTATTGTTTTTATTAACAATAAAATAAAATAAAATTTAATTTTAAAAAAAAAATTATTAGGGGATCAAGCTGGTTCAGCTTTTCAAAGAGCAGCTGAATCCTTTTTAAAGGGTAGCAGTAAACATGATGCAGCTTCAAGTTATGTTTTAGCAGCAAGTTGTTATAAAAAGGGTAGCGTTGTTGACGCTATTAATTGTTTAAAAGCAGCAATCGAATACTATACAGATGAAGGTCGTTTCGCTATCTCTGCTAAACACCAAAAAGAAATTGCAGAATTATATGAAGCTGAAGGTGATATCGATCAAGCCATCGCCAGTTACCAAATTGCCGCCGATTACTTTGAAGGTGAAAATTCTACCGTATCAGCCCATCAATGTCTCTTAAAGATTGCTCTTTTCTCTGCCCAATTAGAACGTTATGAAAAATCAATTGAAATCTATGAACAAGTTGCTGCTGCTTCATTAGATAATAACCTTACTCAATGGGGTTGTAAAGAATATTTCCTTCGTGCTTGTTTATGTTATTTAGCTTCAGATGATGTTGTTGGTGCTGAACGTGCCTTACAAAGATATAAAGATATGCAAGCCTCATTCAATTCAACTAGAGAATGTCGTCTTTTAGATGGTGTCATTCAAGCTTGTAGAAATAATAATGTTGATGAATTTACTAATGAAGTTGCTGAATTCAATTCAATTAGTCCATTAGATTCATGGAAAACTTCAATTTTATTAAGAATCAAAAACACCATCAGTGGTGATTCAGAAGTTGTTTAAAGAGTTTTAGTATAAAATAATATTACATTTTTTTTTTTCAATTTTTCTTTATATAAAAATAATACATACATAACCAAAAGCAATAATAAAAAAAAAAAAAAAAAAAAAGAAAGCCAAAATTTATTTATATCAAATAAAGTTAATTTAACAATATTTTTTAAAATTTTTTTATAAATATATTGTTTTAGTTTTAGTTTTAGAGTTTTATTTACAATAATTATTTAATTAAAAATATTATTATTAATGTTTTTTAAACATTATTTGCATTGTTTTCTTTATTTTGGGATGTGGAGGATTTTGATTTAATTGATGTGGAGGTTGTAATTAAATTATTTGTTGGAGTATTATTGCCTTGTTTGATTACCAATCTAACTTTTTTATTCTGTTCTTGTGGCACATTGTTAAAACATGTTGACGAGGTTAAATCGGTATTTTGCTCTGCTGGGTTACCACCCGATCTTTTAGAAACAAATTTAGATATGGACTGAGATGAGGTTAAAATGGAGGAGGCGGATAGTGGAGATGATGGTGATTGTTCAATGAGATTATTGTTGTTATTTAAAGTTGAAATTGTAAGTGGTTGTTGCTCTCTTGGTACTATTATTAATTTTGATTGAGGTTTTTTTAAAATAGATTTAATTGGTTGTCCATTATGATTTAAAATTGGGTTTTGATTAGCTAGAATTGGTTTTGGCATAATTGGATTGGCCTCTTGTGGTTGTTGTTGTTGTAGTTTTTTAATGGTTTCTTGTAGAGAGTTAATTTTATTTGAACTTGTTTTCAAAGAAAGCTTAATTCTTTCAAATTCTTTTTCTTTAGTGACATAATCGGTGATGGTCTCCAAGTATTCAGATTCTTTAATTTTAAATTGTTCGGCAACATAGCTTGTTTTTTGTTGCTCTCTTTGGGTTTCTTGTTTTGAAAGTTCGAGATCTTTTTCCAATTGCTTAAGTTTTTGTAAAAGTGCTTGTTGTTCTTCACTTGCTTGTTGGGTTTGTTGAGTCTGTTGGGTATGTTGGGTTTGTTGTTGTTGCAATTGCTGTAGTTGTTGTTGTAATTGTTGTTGTTGCTGTTGATATTGTTGTTGTTGCTGTTGTTGTAATAGTTCAGTTTTTGAAATTTTACTTTGCAATTGAGTGTTTGTTTTTTTAGTTTCATCCAACTCCTCAGTGATTTGTTTGATATTATTAATATTTGATTCATTTAAACCTTTGTGATAGTTTCTTTCAATTTCAAATTCAGATTGAATGTTTTCGGTATTTGCCTTTAATTCTTTAATACGATTTTCTAAATCTAATATATTGGATTCCATTGAAAGAATTTCAGTTTCATGTTTTGATTTTTGATGTAATAGTTGAAGAATACGTTCATTGAGTTGCACATTATCATTTTCGAGGAGACTTTGTTTTTCTAAGAGCTGACCATTGATTCGACTGAGTTCAGTAGTTTCAGCACGGTGATTATCTTGAAGCTTAGAGATTTCGGCCTCTAATTCTTTAATTCTATGTGAAGAGTTGTTTTGAAGTGAGTTAATTGAGTTTTCATGTTGTTCTAGTTCTTGTTTGGTATTTTGAAGATTTTTGGTTAATTGGTTACATTGAGATTCTAAATCATTGTACTCCCATGTCTTTAGGTTATATTGATCTTGTAGTTGTTTAAGTTGTTCATTGGTTTGGTTATGTTCTTTTTCTTTAGTTTCTAATAAATCTTGAAGTGATTGAATCTTTTTATTTGTTTCTTCAATTTCTACGGCCCATTTTGATTTTGAATCTTCAAAAATATTATTCAATGACAATAACTGAGCATCTAATTCATCCTTAGTTTTGTTGGCTTGTTGGAGGGTTTTAATGGTTTCCTCAAGACTGTTCTCTAATTGGTCGGTTTTCATTTTACTGTCGTTTGAAAGCTCTTCAAATTTGTTTTTTAGATCGATAATTTCGGTTGTAAGCTGGGTAATTTGACTTTCGTAGTTGTTGTTTTTAATTGTACTGTGTTCATAATCAACAGTTATTGTTTCTAAACATTTCTCTTTCTCTTCTTTGTATGCGGTTAATGTTGTGATTTCTTCAGTTTTCTTTTCAAGCTCGGTTTTCTTTTTTGAAAGTTCACCTTCTAATTCTGAAACAGTTGCCTTGAGTGTATCTTGAGATTTTGTAAGTGTTTCAACATTTTTATTGAGAGTTGCGAAATCTTTAGCCTTGACATCAGCAGCTAAATGGGTCTTTTTAAGTTTATCTAATTCCTTTTCAGTTTCTGCATGGGAACGTTTCAAATCTTTAATATCTTTTTCGAGTGATTGCTTTTCTGATTGAATTGTACTTTTATCAAGATTGGCTTGTTTAAGTTTACCTTCGATAGTATTGAATTTTTCTTTTAGCTTTTCTAATTCTTTTCTTTGCATATCTTTTTCACGATCAACTTGGGATTTTGGTGCTTTTTTTAATTTGTTTAATTGGTTATTAAGATTGTTGTTTTCTTCTCTAAGAGCGCCAATTTCGACAGATTTTAATTTTAATGCAGAAACTTCTTCATTTTTTTCACTTAATTGGACTTCTAATTTAGATTGGTTACTTTTATATTCGTCAACACTAACTAATAATTGAGTGACTTGCTTAGTTTGTTCGACATATTGGCATGAAAGTTTTAAAAGCTCCGCTCTCTTTGATTCTAACTCAAGTTGAAGGGGTCTAATTTCTTTTTGTTTAGCTTGTTCAAAAGTATCTAATTGGTCTTGTAGCTTTTGGTTATTATTAATCAATTGGTCCCTTTCTTTAGTTAAAGCAGTCTCGATTGATTGAAGTAGTTGAATTGATTCAATAGTATCTTTCTTTTCTTGTTCAAATGAAATTTGATTTTCGAGGGTATTTAATATGGCTTGAGAGAATTTACTATAAAGTGTATTATATTTATTTGATAGTTGGTTATATTGCTTTTCGGCCTCTACTAAATCCTGATTCTTTTCATTAACTGCATCTTTACATAATTGTTGAGTGAATTGGTTAAATTGTTCGAGCTTATTAATAATTTCTTTATATTTTACAGAGTCTTGATCCCATGAGTCAATACGTGATTGAAATTCCACCTCTAGGGTTTGTTTTTGTTGCTGAATAGTTTCAAACATTACTTTAATACTATTTAAAGTTGAAGAAAAATCATTCATTTGTTGTAAAAGACGTTGATTTTCATTTTGGGCAGCTTTTAATGTTGATTCCATTTCACTATAGGTTTGTTTAACTAAATTGGTTTCTTGTTGCGATGCTTCAAGCTGAACTTTTAATAGCTGAATAGAGTATTCATTATCTTTTTTAATTTGTTCAAGTTGTTCAACCAAGCTGAGCTTTTCTTTAGCAACTGCAAGGTCCTGCTCAAGTGATTGAATTTGAGTAATAAGGGATTGTTTAGTTTGTTCAGATTGATGATATGTACCTTCTAATGTTGAATTGGTTTTCTCTAATGATTGGAGTTTGGATTTGAGGGTAGAAATCTCTGTATTTAAAGTGTGGATTTGTTTTTGCTTATCTTTCTTTTCTTCTGAGAGTTGACTTTTCATGGCTTTGGTAGTTTGGTTGTATTGGTTCACTTCAACAAGTAAATTATCCAATTGTTCTTGTAAATGTTTGTTTGAAAATTCTAGTGATTCGATTTGTTGATTTTTTTCGGAGATTTCTTGTTGAGACTTTTCATTGAATTCAGCAGCATCTGTACCACCATTAAAAGTATAGTTCTTTTCAATATTATTATATAGATCTACCAAACAATTATACTTTTCTTCCAATTCTAAAATATACCCTCTAAAAGCTTGATTTTCTTCAAAGTAATCAGCAACTTGCTTTTTAACTGGAATCCAAAGATTTTTAAAGTTTTCAATGTCACCATTTAGTTGTTCAATCTTTTGAAGAGATTGTTCATTAATTGACATTTGATTTTGATAGCTTGTCTCTAATTCAAAGTAGGAATCGGCTAAAGTTTCTAATTGCTTCTTTTGCTCTTTATCATTGTTTAAATATTTATCTTCAAGATTTTGTGCCATTTCATAAGACTTTTGAAGGAAACCCAACATTTTATTAAACTCTTGTTTCTTTTCTGTCAAAATTTGAGAACTGGTATCGTAATCAATTTTCATTTGTTCAATTAAGTTTTCTTTTTCGAATATTGATTGTTTAAATTCGGAAAATAACTCTTTTGATTCTAGTGATTTAATCTCGTTATCCAATTCCATTTTTGATATCAATTGCTGTTTTTCTGAAATTGCTAAATCATTTTCCATTTGCATTCTCTCTATTAATTGTTGTTGCTCTTCAAGTAATTGCTCTTGCTCCTTAGTTCTTTCTTGATTATCTTTTTGGATTTTTTCGAGTAGTTTTTGTTTCTCTTCAATTGTTGATTGTTTCTCTTGGTCTTTTAGTTGTAATTCTTTATTTTGATTTTGTTGTGATTGACATTCAGCTTCCCATTGATCAATAATTTGGAGGAGCTCTTGATTTTCACCTTGTTTTTCTTTTAATTTGCTTTCAAATAACTCTACGGTTTCAGCATATTCAGTAATAAGCTGCTTGTTTTGGTCTAATTCGTCATAAATGGAGTTTAAGTCATCTTTTAATATATTTACAGAGTTTGGTGGGGCAGTTAATTGTGATTCCAAACGTTTTATTTTTTCTATAGTTGTATCATCCAGTGGTTTAATTTCAAAGGAATCTTTATCTTCACTATCTGATTTTATTTCTGTTTCTCTCTCACCCTCACTTTGGACCTTTTGCTTCTTTAATAAAACACTTGGATCTAATGTATCTCTTCTTTTCTTTTGTTTATTTTTATTTTGATATATTTCTTTCTTCTCTTCTAAATTTTTAATAATTTCATTGAATTTCTTTAAACCACTAAATGTACTGGTATCATCAGAATCACTTTGATCTTCTATTGGTTGTTGTTGGGTTTGCTTATCATTTAATGGTTGATCTAAATGCTTTGGTGTTGTAGTTGGAGTCAAAATACTTGAAACACTATTATTTAAAAACATACTTGTATTTGATTGATCATTAAAAGTTGAAATTGTACTCCTTAATTTTACATTAACCTCTTCGGCTTTACCCAACTGGTCCCTAAGCTGGAGAATCTCTACCTCGTATTTCTTTATCATTGTGTTTGCATCGGCAACTTCATTAATTTTATAATTGTTTTTAACTTTTTTGGCTCTTCTGGCAAACATTAATGTAGAAATTGACTCTTCTTGGTGAGTAACTGCAGGTGTTATAGTACAAATGATGGCTGTCTTGGAATTACCACCCAATGAAGTTTGGAGAATACGAGTCAATTTACTATCTCTATATGGAATATGCTTCTTTTGAACCTTCTCATCACTAAGTTTAGAAATTACATTACTTAATGTCATTAAACTCTTATTAATATGAGTACCTTCCTTTAAACGTACACCCTCTGCACCAGTTGATGATACTCTTTCACTACCTGCTAAATCGACTAATGTTAATGTTGACATTTGAATTGATCCATTTGTTTTATCTGTACTTTGAATATTCATTCTAAAAATTGTATGTGATCTAGAACTAAAATCATTCATATTTGTGGCACCAATGTGTCTTTTTTCTAAAAAAAAAAAAAAGTTAGCAAAATTTTTGATTTATAAAATTTCTATTTGGTTTAAATAATATTTACCTTCACCATACTTCATTAATTGAAAAATATGATTTGGTGATGATACCATCTCCTCTCTTAAATTACTGACAACAACACCTCTATATATATCTTCGTGAATTTTGAGCTTTAATTTTTGTGGGTTCAATAAATCTTTGATTTCTTCATTATAAATTTCTAAATATGAAACCTTTAATAAATATTCCCTATCGTGAATTGATTCTGCTATATAATGGAAAATATCATTAACTGATAAACCAATAATACCTGGGATTTGTTCACTTCCTTTCATTGTGTGCGTTTTACCGGATGATGTTTGACCATATGCAAAAATTGTACCATTTATACCATATAACGAAGACTTTACTATATTTTTGGCAATTGCATTATATAAATCTATTGTATTTGATTCAATACCAAAAACGTAATCTTATAAAATAAAAAAGAAAATTAGTATTCACTTTAAAAATAAAAAAAATAACAATAAAAAAAATAATCCTACCATAGGTAAAATTAACACTATTATTTAAAGCCAAACCAATAGAATCATTTGAAAGTATCCATGGTATTTTTTGTTCACCCTCTTTACTGTTTAATGGTCTAACTCTAATTGCAACTCTAATTTTATCATCTTCATTTCCTATTTGATTATCAATATTTTCGTTATTTATATTATTATTATTTACAGAATTATTATTATTATTATTATCCATTTTTTTATTTATTGTTGTTATTATTATTATTATTTAGTTTAACCATTTATATCTTTAAAAAAAAAAATGAAAACTAAATAATTTATTCTAAAATTTTATCTATTATCTAAAATATTTAGTTGAACTAAATTAATTATATTAAAAAATAAATAAAAAATAAAAAAAATAAAACTGTAAAAAAAAAAAAAAAAAAAAAAAAAAAAATTTCAAATTTTTGGAGGGACGGAGCAAAAAAAAAATTCCCTAAATAATATTTTTTAATAAGCAATAATTGTGATAAATATAATTTAATAAGTTAAAGCTAAGAAAAAAGAAATAGTAAAAAAAAGAATACTTAAATAATTTTAAATTGTTTTATTATTATATTTTTAAATAGTTTGGTGTAACTATACATAAATAACTATTTTATCTCATTTTTTTATTTTGCCAAAAAGGCGATTATTATCATTATTCAAATTGATCATGATTTTAATAAATCATTTTATTGATTAAATCAATTAATTATGATATTATATGTAAAAACATTGAACCTTGTAGTATAAGTACCCCATTGGGTTTGAACATATAAAGTAGGAGTTCAAAATAAAAGTATAAAATAAAAAATTTCCCTTTTGTTAAGTTGGTCACCTCACGCTTTAGTTGTTCAAAGTGCAATTTCAACCTGTAATATAGCTCTAAAGTGAGTTAAGTATATATAATGTAAAACAAATAAAACAACAAATAGATAAACATATTATAAGTAATGAATTATAGTTTATAGAATATGACTGTGGTTATTTAAATAATTTTTTTTCAAAATATTAGCAACTAATTATAATCAAATAATAACAGCAATCAATTTTTTGTATTTCACCTACAAGATAATAATAAATAGCTATTGTATAAAAATAATAATTTATTTAATATTTTATTTTTTAAAAAAAAAAATTTTCTTTCATAAGAAAAATATTAAAAAAAACCAATAAAAATCGATTTTTTTTAAAGATTCAGTTATTATGCAGAAAATAATTTTACAATAAAATATGCAAATCCAAAAATTTTTTGATTTTATTATAAAAAAAAAAAATTGGATTTTTTTTTTTTTTGATTTTTTTTTTTTTGCAAAAAAAAACTATTTAAATCCTATAATTTATTTTTTTTCATTCAAATTTTTTTAAAACAAATAAATAAATATATATAAAATAAAATGGAAGGTGAAGATGTTCAAGCTTTAGGTAATTATTATTATTTATTTTCTTTTTTTTTTTTTTAAAAAATTTTATAAAACAAATTATTAATTTAATTTAATTTACTATAAATAGTTATCGATAATGGTTCAGGTATGTGCAAAGCCGGTTTCGCTGGTGATGATGCCCCAAGAGCTGTTTTCCCATCAATTGTTGGTCGTCCAAGACACACTGGTGTTATGGTCGGTATGGGTCAAAAAGACTCATATGTTGGTGATGAAGCCCAATCAAAGAGAGGTATCTTAACCCTCAAATACCCAATTGAACACGGTATTGTTACCAACTGGGATGATATGGAAAAAATCTGGCATCATACTTTCTACAATGAATTACGTGTTGCCCCAGAAGAACACCCAGTCTTATTAACTGAAGCCCCATTAAATCCAAAAGCTAACAGAGAAAAAATGACCCAAATTATGTTCGAAACTTTCAACACCCCAGCCATGTACGTTGCCATCCAAGCCGTCTTATCATTATACGCCTCAGGTCGTACCACCGGTATTGTTATGGATTCAGGTGATGGTGTCTCCCACACTGTTCCAATCTATGAAGGTTATGCCTTACCACATGCCATCTTACGTTTAGATTTAGCTGGTCGTGATTTAACCGATTACATGATGAAAATCTTAACTGAACGTGGTTACTCATTCACCACCACTGCTGAAAGAGAAATCGTCAGAGATATCAAAGAAAAATTAGCCTACGTCGCCTTAGACTTTGAAGCTGAAATGCAAACTGCTGCCTCATCATCTGCCTTAGAAAAATCATACGAATTACCAGACGGTCAAGTCATCACCATCGGTAACGAACGTTTCCGTTGCCCAGAAGCCTTATTCCAACCATCATTCTTAGGTATGGAATCAGCTGGTATCCACGAAACCACTTACAATTCAATCATGAAATGTGATGTTGATATCCGTAAAGATTTATACGGTAATGTCGTCTTATCAGGTGGTACAACTATGTTCCCAGGTATTGCTGATCGTATGAACAAAGAATTAACTGCTTTAGCCCCATCAACCATGAAAATTAAAATCATTGCCCCACCAGAACGTAAATACTCTGTCTGGATTGGTGGTTCAATTTTAGCCTCACTCTCAACTTTCCAACAAATGTGGATCTCAAAAGAAGAATATGACGAATCAGGTCCATCAATTGTCCACAGAAAATGTTTCTAAACACTTTATATACACATTAATTGTATTATTTATTTATTGTATACTTAAAAAAAACTTAATAAAACAAAAATTCTTTAATGTTGATTTTATCCTTTAAAGAAAATATTTAAAAAAAAAAAAAAAAAACAAATAATATTTTTTTAACAAAATTATCAAAATAATAATCTTTTTTTTTACCAAGAAAATAAAATATAATGAATATTTTTTTTTATAAATTAATATTTATTTATTATTACGATTAATAATATAATTGAAAAACTTTTTTAATTTCTTCATAAACCAATAGGGTTATTGAAGTATTTGGAATTACTTTGATTGTATTTGGAATTAGACCTCGATAGAAACCATGGATACCTTCGTTTCTGTACATTTTTAAAATTACATCGGTTGTACCATTATAAACCTTGACATTATTTTTATTTGGAATATTTCTTTCATCTTGAAGTCTAGTTTTAATAACTTGGAATGGATATAAAATTGTTGATGCTAAAAATTTTGAAACACTACTTGCAATAAAAATTTCAGTTGCTCCCTATTAAATAAATAGATAGATAGATATTATGTTAGTATATAAATTATTATTTATAACTATAAATGAAATAAGATACATACCAATGAACTTAAAGGTTTTGAATTTGTTTTTGAAAAATAATGTTTTATATGTTCATATGAACTCATTTGAATACCACCATGTAAGGTCAACCATAATGAAGGTATTACACCTTTATATAGACCTTTGAAACCTTCAGCTGATATTGTTTTTTTAAAACCATCTGTTAAACCAGTGTAATAAGTTGGGGAACCTGGCTTTTGAAGTTGCATACGAGTTTTAATTAAAAATATTGGATTGGTAATAAACACTTGCGAAATACTAGCTGCAACACCACATACAAAATGAACTGGTGTTGATAATTGATCGACACCTTGTTTTTCTTTTAAAAAGTTTTTGTAGGTTTCATAAAAATGCATGTAAGCACCCCACGCTATACCTCCAGCAATAACAGTGAGTGATGATCCTCTCCAAAATTGTTTTAATCCCTCATTTTTTATAACATCTCTGCATGTACCAATGACGCTAATATTTGGTTTAATAGTGGCAGTGTTTACTACTGATGCTGTTGGTATTGCCCCTAAACCTAATTTATTTGCATTAAATCCACTACCTTGAAGTCTTACTTTTAAAAAATCAAATGGTTGTAAAAATATAGTAGCAATACTGGATCCTAGTAAAGCTGATATTCCATCGATATCTTTTATATATAAACAAAACCATATTAATATTTGATCAAATAAAAACGAATATTAATATTTTAAAACACTTACATGGGGGTAATTTATTGCCACTATTTTTATTATTGTTCATTTGAATTTAAAAAAAAAAAAAAAAAAAAAAAAAAAAAAGATATATAAATATATATAGTAATAAATATAATAATATGTCTAATTTAAAAGGACATTTATTAAATGGTTAAAATCAAAAATTGATAACTCTTTCGTTAAAATTAAAAAAATTAAAAAAAAAAAAAAATAAATGAAAAAATATTAAAAAAAAATAAAAATATTTAAAAAAAAAAATTTTAAAAATTTTAAAAAAACAATTTATAAATTTTTTGCATAATTATTACGATAATTTTGTTCTTTCGCATTATATTTAGTTTTCAACTTTTCTATTATCATTTCTTATTGTTATAATATCTTTCAATTATAATAATAGTATTAACCAATAGAAATAATAATATAACAACAACAGAAAACAAAAGAATATAAAATATTTCTATATAGTATAGTATAGTATTAAATAAATAAATAAAGTAAAAGAAAAATATGGCTACTCCATTCGTTGTTGGTGTTATGGTTGCCGGTATGGCATATACAGGTAGATTTATCGTTAGAGCAGTCCAAAGAGCTAGAAACAGTCAATCTATTTTTGAAGTTTCAAAAAAATCATTTAATATGGAAACAGTAGAAGAAGGCTTCGAGTCTAAAATGACACCAGATGAAGCTTACTCTATTTTAGGTATTGAGTAAGTCATTACATTTTAATTTTAACGGTATTAGTAATATTCATAGATTTTATACTTACACTATTACAATATTTTATTTTTTATATTTCAAATTAAAATTATTATCAATTACAGCAAAAACGCAACTAAAGAAGAAATTAAAATTAGACACAAACATTTAATGATCAAAAACCATCCAGATAAAGGCGGATCATCATATTTAGCAACCAAAATTAATGAAGCAAAAACTATTTTATCGAATAATTATTAAAAAAAAAAAAAAACGAACGAAATTTAACAAATATTACCATTTCTCCTTTTACATAAATACAATACAAAACAAATAATAGTAATAATAATAATAATAATAATAATAACCAATAACTAATAACTTATAACTAATGACAATAATAACTACTTTTATTAGTTATAATAAAAGTATTAGCTTTCTTTTTATCTTTTTTTTTTGTACAAAAATTTTAAAAATATAATAAATATAATAAATATAATAATTTAATATTATATTATTTCATAAAAAAAAAGGTTTTATTTAAATAGGACCATTTTAAAATTTATTTATATAAATTATTTATTTACAAATTTCGTTTTTTTTTTTATTTTTTTTTTTATTCGTTTATTTTTGTTTAACCACCATGTAAAGTTGAAATAAAAGTAATGGTATCTTTATCTTCGACATTGTATTCGATTCCACCAAAAAGTTCCCAATCGGCGTCATTAATTAAAACTAAAATACCTGGACGACTATTATATTTATAAAAGTATTAGTATAACAAATTTCTATTATTGAATCATACTGCTATTATTGTAAAGTATACCTACACTGTGTTGTCAACAACAAAGAGTTCAGCTCTTTCTTTAAGTAAATTATCTCTCATATATAAAATTAATTCTCTTAATGGAATTTCATTTTTATCTGAAAATTCAATTTGGTGAACTTTTTTTTTATCGAATAACAACTCCAAACCACCACTATAAATATTTTAAAAAAATGGGTTAGTAAAAATCAATAAATCATATGTTTTTACATCTATATTTGCCCATTTGTTATTACCTTAAGTCAACTGTAACTTTCATTTTATCTTCTTATTAATTAATATAACAAAATAAAAATAAACAAAATTTTTAACAAAAAAAAAAAAATAATAAAAAATTTAAAAAAAAAAAAAAAAAAAAAAAAATTAATAAAAAATATATATTTCTCGTTTTTTTATCATTTAATTATATATTAAATGTATAAATAGATAAAGAAAATTTTAAATAGGAATATTTATTTCTAAGTACTCAAGAAGATACACATTCAATTCTTTATTTTTTATTTTTATATTTTATAGTTTAAAAATATAGATTTTATTTTAATTAATAAAAATAAAAAATTAATTTTATATTTTAGAATTTAATTAATTATTTAATTTTCTAAAATTAATTTTTTTTTTATTTTTTTATAGATTTTAAAATTATTTTTAATTTTAAAATTTTAATTTCCTTTTTAAAAATTTAAAATTTAAAAATAATATTAATTTAAAGATCAATTTAGATTTTTTTTTAATCTCAAAACAATGGGTGAAATTACGAGATCCGTATCACCAATATTTTTTCTTTGATTTTTTTTTTTTTTTTTTTTTTTTTTTTTTTTCTTATTATTTGCTTCCAAATTAACCAATAATACAACATATAATTAAATAATAGTAATAAATGTTTAAAATTAATTTAAATTATAAAACAACAATTAAAAAATGTTATCCAATAACAACAATAGTTTAAATAATAATGTTAATAGCAATAATAAAAAAAGAGATTTATTAACACCCTTTCTTTCTCCAGAAACATTGTTGTTTGGTGGATTCGATAAAAACGATGAATTAGAGGACATTGATATTTTGGGTGAAAATCAAATGTCCTTTTGTATTGATCCCAATTTTGGTAATGAACCATCTTTGCTATTTTCATCACCAAGCATCGTTCCATTTTCAATTGAAAATGACAGTTCAAATATTAATGAAATAATAGATGAAGGATATAATATTAATACCAACAATAATAGTAATATTAATAAAGAAGATAACAACAACAATAATAATATTTTGGAAAAAATGGAATTTAAAAATAGTAGTCCAGTTGGTATTTATGATAGCAGTAATATTTTTCAATTACCACAGCCCCAACAACAAGATAATTCAAATAGTGACTCAGTATTTGAAAATGGCACCAATAATGTTGCCCAACAACCACCTCCATTAACCGAACCATTACCTTTATCACAGGCATTACCTTCCTTCCAGCCACTACCATTACCAGAACCACCAACTGCAACAATGACAGCTAAGCAAGTTAATAATTTAATTGAAGAGAATCAACTTTTGACCAATCAAAACGATATCATATATCCATTTCAGGATGATCAGCAGGATATCGAAGATGATTTACACCAACAACCACCCCCACACAAAGATAGAAAACCAAGAAGACCACCAGAATATCCAATTCATCAAGTTAATCTATTATTAGATGAAGTTAATGGGGATTTAATTTGTAAAGAATGTAATTATAAAGCAAAAACTAGAAAATCAGTTCAATCTCATATTAGAAAAGTGCATACTGTTAAACTTGACAAAATTAGAGAGGATTGTAAAGAAATTTTCAAAGCTAAAAAAGATGACTATAATAAAGATTCAATTGTTTGCGATCATTACGGATGTGGTGCAATCATTGTAAAATATAATAAAAGCAAACACTACCGTCAACCCCACCACATTGGCCACCCTAAAGAAATTGGGGAGTGTTATCGTTGTAAAGAAGTCAAACAAAGAACAATAATGAGAAATCTAAAAAAGGAAATGAATAAAAATAAAAGGTAAATATTAAAAAAAAAAAAAAAAAAAAAAAAAAAAAAATTAAACAAAAATAAAACTAACAGAAATTTATACAGGCCCATGGAATTAAATTAAATTAAATTAAATCAAAACATTACGAAAATTTAAAAATGCTTTTAATAAAATAAAAAACCAATTATCATAATTTTTTAAATACGAAAATTTTTATTTTTATTTTTTTTTATTTTATTTTATTTTATTTTATTTTATTTTTTTAAAATTGATTTTTTTTTTTTTTTTTTAAAGAATTATTAAAAGAATTTTTCATTTTTTTGCAAAACCACATTTATATTTTAGATTATTTATTTATCATATAATAATATAATAATAGTAATAAAATAAATTATAATAATAGTTTATAATGACATTACAAACAATAATAAATTATAAAGATATTAAAACATGGGATAAAGTCGAAATCACAAAAAAAGAAAACCAACATTTAACAAAGAATAGCTTGTATGTCGATAGAGCAATTTTTAAAGTTAACCAAAAGATAAATTCAAAGATTTCAATTTTTTATGGAGAGCTTTATAAAATAAATACTGATGCTATTGTTTATAGCAATACTACAAGTTTATCGGACCGTGATGGGATAACAGATCGTATATTCTTATTTGGTGGTCAAGAGATGAAAAGCGATATAGAAAGGAATGGGTATGAATGTAGATATGGCGAATCAATTATTACAAGAGGTGGCGATTTAAATTGTAAACATGTAGTGCATACAGTATGTCCAACATACAATCCAAAATATTTATCAGCTGCAGAGAATGCACTCAATAGTTGTTACAGATCATCGTTCCATTTAGCAATCGAAAATGGTGCCAAAACCATCGCATTTTCGTGTCTTCACACTGAAAAGAGATCTTATCCATCTGTCAACGGTGCCCATATTGGTTTAAGAACCATCAGAAGATTTTTAGAAAAGCCATACAGTAACTCTATTGAAAAAGTAGTATTGGTTATAGATTCAGTTTCAAACCTAGAGATCTATGAAGAGTTCCTTCCATTATATTTCCCGAGAAATACACAAGAGGAGATTTTCTCCCAACACTATTTACCAGAGAATATAGGCGATGAAAACGGTGAATCTATTGAAGAGGATAGAAAAATTAGAATTATAGAAACACCATCAAGCTTAATCCGTGACCCCGATGAAGATGAGGACGATTGTTTTTATAGTGTGGATATGAACGATTCAAAAAACAATACAAATAGTAATAATACAAAGTCATTTTTAAACTCTATTGAAAATTCGAAAAATACAGATCAATCCTACAAATACGACCCAATCGATAAAATTTTAAATCCATTTGCACCAGGCACTTCACCAATTGTAACAAATAATAACTCATTCCTTTTAAAAAAAGAAGATCCAGATATTGCAAAAAGAAAACAAATCACAAAGAAAACTGAAAAACAACTCGAAAATGAAAAACTACAACAAGAATTTCAAGTACTTTTAGAAAAATCAAAAATTGAAGATCTATCAGAAATTAGCAGATTGAATTTTGTTTTACAAACCACCGATAATAACGGATACCCTCTTTTAGTAATCATTGGTAGTCAACTAAGCTCTAGAAAAGATTTAATGGAAAGGGTTTTATTACATTTAATTAGAACATTAGAACAAATTATACAAAGAGGAACTTTTTCTTTAATTTATTTCCATTCCAACATGTCCTCTCAATCTTCACCGGATTTATCTTGGTTAAAAAAACTATTAGAAATTTTCGAATTAAAGTAAGTTTTAAATTATCAACTTTAATATTAAAGTTTTATGATATTAATTTTAATTTTATTTAGATATAATAATTATTTAAGAGCTTTCAATATAGTTCACCCAACATTTTTATTAAAAACAACATTATTTATTTCAAAATCGTTATTGGGAGATAAAGGTGTATTATCCAAAATAGTATATCACGAAAATATGAAGCTTTTATCAAAATCTTTGTCAAAATGTAGTTTACCCAAATCTATTTTCAACTATGAAATTTCCAACAATCAAATATCAGATTTTTCATTTGCTTTTGATGACCAAGTTAGTTTGTAATAAAAAAAAAAAAAAATTCATTTTTATTATAAAATAATTTATATTTGCATCCAAAATAATAAATACCAAACATTACATAATATAAAGAATTTTTAATAATGTAATAATAACAATTTATAGTTTTTATAAAAAAAATAAATAAAAAAGATATTTTAAATATTAAATTTGTGTTTAGTTTATTATTGCAATTAATTATATATTTTATATTTTTAATTGATTAATTAATTAAATGATAATCATCAATTTCATCTGAAGTTTCATTATCATCATTTCCACTACCCTCACCACCGTTGCTATTATTATTTTCGTTATCTTCATCCGATTCTTCTTCATTGTCTTCATATCCATCAGATTCTTCACCCATTGAAAACTTTTCTTGCTTGTCACTGGAACCAAAATAATCTGGACTTTGATCAAAAATTGAAAAAATTGGATTCTCCATTTGAGAAGCCATTGCTTTTGATCTGTCTACAAAATCATCGAAATCGCTTCTACTTTTACAAAAGAATGCAACTACTAATGATGGATCAACCTCTGAGACGTGGGTTCTCTTTGTTTGGCTACAAAAGAATGTATTTACTGGGAAACTATTGTTATTATTTTTATCATTGTTGTTATTATTATTGTTGTTGTTGTTGGTATTAATAATATTAATATTTGATGATGATGGTGATGATGAAAAAGAGAAATTGGATGGTTCACCATTACTATTATTAATATCTATATGGTTTTGTACAGTATGTGGGTCTAAATAGAATAAGTTGTCATCTTGAACTGCTATAAAGTAAAGAGAGGCTCTTGGTTTACCACCAACAACACCGAGATTTTGTGGGAATTTGAATATTTCTAATAATGATTGGTAATAGATACTATTTAGACCGTCCAACCCAAGTCTCATTGGTATTAAAATTAAAAGTGGTTCCCAAACTTCAACTTCTTCTTCCGATGATGTACTATCATTTGTTTCATCACTATCAATATTATCAAAACTAAAATCTTCCTCCTTTGAAATTTCATCAGATAGTGATAGTACTTGAAGTTGCTGTTCGCTATTATTTATATTACTGTTATTGTTATTATTATTACTATTTGTCTCTATATTTTCGTCATCCTCTTGTTTTTCTCTAATTGGTTGTGATTTTTGTTGATCTTTATTTAAAGCTGATGGTTTTTTCTTTTTTGATGAAATACTTAAAAGTTGGTCTATATACAAGGAACCATCCTCTGAAATAAAAACTGATATATTACATTTTTCATAGTTTTTTGATACAAGAGATCTATATTATAAAAATTTGTTAATAAAGTTTTTTTTTATTTTTAAAAAAAATTTAGTAAAAAAATATTTACTTTATAGCTTGGGAAATAATTGATGGGGCAAACCATTCACCAATATTTTTACCAAGAGTTTGACCCTCCAATGCTATATTGTGAATTGAAAATGGAGCAGAAGGTTTATCTAAAAACATTGATATTATCTATTTGTTTTAAAAAAAAAAAGTTAATATTTACTTTAATAATTTTCCAAAAAAACAAATTAAATTTGCCCTTACATTATTATAAACATCTGGATGAGTTGAATTTGAAGATTTTTTCCAATCATCACCTAATGCATGATGAAGCAAAAGATTAGATAGTAACATTTGACCTGATCTTAACATACATCCCCAACCACAATCGTTATCGTATTGAGTATTATCAATAAATGGAAAACCTTGACGATATGTAAACCAAAGTACCCTAGTTGTAAAATCTTCTAAAAACTCTTTAATAAATGATTGACCTGGAATATCAACTGTTGATGGGTTAAAAGTGAAATTTACTTTTTTATTGTTATCCACTTGTGGTTTATTGGTTTCTTCATTTTCTGAATCATTTGCATTTTCATTATCACCAATATTATCAGATTCTAAATTATCAGTATTGATGGTTGGGGAGGAGGCATTATTATTACTATTATTATTATTATTATTATTATTATTATTATTATTATTATTATTATTATTATTATTATTATTATCCTCTAAATTAATGCTACTTAAAAGTTGATTTAGTCTTGTTAAATCTTCTAAAAATATTGCTTTATATTCATTCCCAAACATCCAAATCGGTGAATTTGAAAACTGTGGCTGGTGTAGAGTGCCTTTAAAAAATAGAAAAAAAAATATTAATACACATGATATTATATAGGGATATACAAAAAAACCTTTTATACATACTACCTGCCCCTCTAAGTAAATAGAGACAGTTCATTAGCCTTTTGGGCAATGATCTTAAATTAAAGTTCGATAGAGACTCTATTTGTGTTTGTATATATAAATGTTGTTGAGAAATTATTTTTAAATTTTAAACAATACAAAATATAGTAAATAAACACTATATCGTATTGTATTATTGTGGAGTGGAGGAAGTGTATTTCAGACTGAACAAATTAAAAATGAGAAAGGTAATAGTATTTATTTCTACTGTTATTACTATTAATACTACTGTTATTGTTTAATAGAGGTTTCTATTTTTATTTGTATTACTGGGTTTTTATTATTAAATAAGCCAATTCAATTGACTTTATTTTTTTTTATAGCTATTATAAAACCATTGAAAAAAAAAAAAAAAATATTTATAAAGCTTTTTTTTTTTATTTATTTATTAGTTAGTTTAGTTATTTATTTTGCTATATTTATATAATATAAAATAGTAGTTTATTATTATTAAATATTTTAATATAGAGTGTGTGAATGAGAGAAAATAGTGTTGTTGTGTGTGATAAAAAAAAAATAAAGAAATATTTAAATTAAAAAAAAATTAAAAATAAAAAATTATAATAAAATTATAATGGAAAAAATAAATGAATAAAATATATGTATGTCCCCCCAGAAAAAAGAGAAATTATATATAATTAAAAAAAAAAAAAAAAATTAAAAAAAAATAAATTAAAATTTTTTAAAAAATTTTATTTTTTTAAATTTTATTTATTTTTTTAAATTTTTTATAATAATTTAATTTATATTTTTTTTTTATTTTCTATATTTTATTGGGAATCAAATTCCCAAAATGGAAGGCCAATATTGATCAAACCTTTCCGTTAGTCGGTTTTTCCAAATATTCAAGCTTGGTAATTATAAAAAATGAGGTAAAAAAAAAGAAAAAAAAAATTTCAATTTTAAAAAAAAAAAAAAAAAAAAAAAAACTCTTTACAAAACTAAATTTAACAATTTATAAATAAATCTATTTATTACTATAAAATAATAATATACAAAATAATAAGAAAAAATTAAATTAAAAAAATAAAAAATAAAAAATAAAAAATAAAAATAAAAATAAAAATAAAATAATTAGATTATCTATTTCAAACTTTAATTTATATAAATATATTAATACAAAAAAGCTTTTAAAATGGATTTTATATTATGTATTTATAATTAGATATAAACAAAGAAATTCTGATCAATATACCAAACATTTTAATATGAATGTAAACTATGTTTTTTTGATTAAACTAAGAGAAAAATATTAATGCATTCAAAGTTTCAAATAAAAACAAACAGTATATTTTTTATGAAAATCAAAAGGTTAGCGAAAAACAGATTGTTGAACACAGCTTAAAATATTACCTACAAGGAACAATAAACATAATAACATTAATAAACATAAAAGTAATAATAGTATCACCAATAATGTTAATAGTTTAATCCACAATATCATACTTTAAAACAATAAAATAAAAAAATAGAAAAAATTTTAATAAACTGTTATTTTTTTTATTTGGAACCAACCTCCCAAAATGATGGTAATGTTGATTGAACATATGTTTTCCCTTTTTTCCAAATATTCAAGCCTGTATATTAATCAAAAACAACAAAATATGAAATTTTTAAAAAAAAATAAAATAAAAAAATTATATTAATAAACTCTTATTGCCAACTAAAACCAAACAAAAAATTACTATTTATTACTTTAAAAATTATAAGATTGAAAAAAACAAGAAACTTAAAAAAATAATATTATTAAAAATAAATATAATAAAAATATATAAAAAAATAAGTAATTAGATGATCTATTAAAAAATCCAAACCTCTATTATTCATTCATAAAGATCTCAATAACAAATATTAATAATAAAAAAATTAAGATTGACCCCCGATTTTAACTATTCAAATACAAAAAAGGTTTCAAAAAGGTTTCTATATAGTGCGCGTGAGGTATTTTTTTTTTTTTTTTTGTTATTTTGTGTGTTTTTTTTAATTTGTTGTTTTTTTTTCTTTTATTTAAAACTTTTTTTTTTATATTTTTATATTCTTATAAAACATAATATTATAATTTTTTTTTAAAATCTAATTAATTAAACAATCCAAATGGAATTAAAAAATAAATTAAATAAATTTCTTCAAGATTTTGAAAAACTAGGTAATTTTGAACATGGTTTAGTTAATACCCTTGTGGTTACCGATGCAAAGCCTGGTTTCATCACAGTTTCCTACACCATCAAAAAAAACTCTTGCAACCATAGACATACACTTCATGGAGGATGTGCTGCTGGTTTTGCTGATATATTATTCTATATTACTTGGGCCTCTACTATAGGTAATACCTATATTTTTATTCACTCAATATTAAATTTAAATAACAATAATACTCATATTCAATTTTTTATTTGATTGTACAATTAGATTTAAAAGAAAAGATTGTCAATTTACCTACCACTGTTAATATGAGTTTAAACTATGTTTCCTCTATTAAACTAGGTGAAAAAATGATAATATATTCGAAGGTTCAAAGAAAAACCAATAGTCTTTTATTTTTAAAAATGAAAATGGTTTCTGAAAAAGATAACAAATTACTTAACTCTGCAAATGCAGTTTTTAAAATGTTACCAGCAAGGAACAATAATAATAATAATAATAATAATAATAATAATAATAATAATAATAATAATAACAATATTAACAGTAATAATAATAATAAAAATAAAAATATTAATATTAATAACGTCAATAGTTTAATCCCCAATAGCAAACTTTAAAACAAATAAAAAAATCAATGTTTATAATTTTAATTTTATAAGTTTATTTAATATTTTTTTTTAAAAAAAAAAAAAGAAAATAGGAATATTAAAAACAATTATATTAGCTAATAACACAA